GCAAAATAAAGTCGCACTTGGGAGACAGACGGTCAGGCATGGTCATGGCCACATCGCCATCGCATGCCACTGTATCAGCCTTCATAGGTGCTTGCTAACAGGACCTGCCCCAACAGCCTGGTGGCTACACGGGGCATCTTAGTCTTTCGTGAGTGTATAAACGTATGTTTGCCTATATACAGCATGTGTATGTCTGTGTGCGCGCGTGTGTTAGAATGTGTGTCAGTGGAAGAAGACACCCCCGGTGAGTGGCTGGCTGAAATGCCATCTGTTGAGGAAGTACTGAAGGCGATCCGGAGTCTGAGACCAGGAAAGGCAGCGGGCAGAGATTATCTCCCAAGCAAAATGCTAAGGGAGGGTGGCGTGTGTGTACAGACTGCCCTATATGACATCATAACAACAGTCTGGACCACTGGACGGGTTCCGCAGGATTGGAAGGATGCCCTGGTGGTCCCCCTCTTTAAGAAGGGGGACCGCACAGACTGTAACAACTACAGGGGCATCTCACTCCTCAGTGTGCCGGGAAAGGTCCTGGCAAGGATTATTCAACATCGCCTTGCCAGGCACGCTGAGGAGAGGCTTGCGGAGCCCCAATGTGGTTTCAGGAAAGGGCGGTCCTGCACAGATGCCGTATTTTCTGTCCGTCTGCTACAGTAGAGGTGTAGGGAATTCCAGCAAGACCTACATCTCTGCTTTATTGACCTGGTCAAGGCCTATGATACCATCAGTAGGCCTGGGCTCTGGGTTGTTCTTCGTGCTTTTGGAGTCCCTGACCCTCTGCTCATGATCATTAAGGACCTTCATGATGGTGAGCGGGCCCGGGTAAAACTACGTGGCCGGGAGTCCGAGCCATTCCCTGTACCCCTTGGGGTGCGATAGGGATGTCCTCTGGCTCCCACATTATTTAACATCTATTTTGACCACGTAGTTCGTGAAGCCTTCAATAGCTGTACCGGGGGAATCTCCATATGGTACATATATAATGGGAGGCTGATCGATGCCCGGGTGCGGTCAACCACGTTATGTATGCCGATGATTTGGTAATAGCTGCTCATTCAGAGGAGGAGTTGGAGACGCTGCTGTTGATACTGGAGCATGCCACTAAGAGATGGGGCCTTACCATCAGCCCCAACAAAACTAAGCACCTGCCTGGGTATTTTGTACCATCGGACACTCCACCCCCCACAACTCCCAATCGGTGATGGGGCAGTTGTGGAGAGAGTGGAGAGTTTCCCATACCTGGGCAGTGTGCTTATGCCCGGCTCCAGTTTAACAGCAGAGGTCTCACTCCGAATCAGTCGAGCGGCAATATCTTTTCATCGGTTGCGTAACGCTGTGTGGAAGCTACCTGGTCTGTCGCTCCGCACTAAGCTTCAGGTCTTCTCGGCCACGGTCATTCCCTCCCTTCTCTACGCTTGCGAAACGTGGACCCCCCTAATGGAACATCTTCGCCAGTTAGAAACATTTAGGCTGGCCTGCCTATGATCCATCCTGGGTTTAACCAGACTGGATTGTGTGAGCAGCTCACAAATCCTTGAAAGATCTGGGCAAGGTCCATCGGTGAGCTCCTCCGGCGGGCAAGGCTGCGATGGCTGGGTCATGTAGCCCGCATGCCGAAACAGCTTTTGTTCGGCCGGATCGAGGGGGCTAAACGGGCGCGGCACGGGCTAGAGAAGAGATTGAGTGATGTGGTACAGGAGGACGTGGAGCTGAGTGGACTTGCCGATGACTGGTACCAGCGGTGTCAAGATCGGCCTCTGTGGAGGAGGCTCGTGAAGGACGCTACTGGGCAGTTGGAGGCAGTCGCCCTCCAACAACAACGGAGGGCGGAGGAGCGACGCTCACAACAACGAGCGGAGCGCCGGGTGGCTAAAGCACAGCAGGTTGGCACAGTAGGGGGCACAGGTGGTGCATCAGCCAGTCATCTCAGTCATCCGAGTCAGTCGACCCGTGGCACCTGGGTCTGCCCCGTGACCTGCCAGCAAGCGTTCGACACTTCACGTGGCCTCAAGATGCACATGGCCTGGCACAAGCGTCGTGGTGACGTCACCGCCACTTAGTGGCGAATGGCGGTTGTTGTTGTTGTTAGAATGTGTGTGTACATATGAGAGTATGCATAGAGAAGTTATTGTGTATCAGTGTTCCTTTGAACATGCATGTGAGTGCTTGTGTATGGAGGTGTATTGTCTGAAAAAACAAACCCATCTACTGGATTGTGTCAGATGGTAACACCCGAGCTGTGTTGTGAACAATGGCAACGGGGGAAAGGCTGAAAGGCTGATGCTAATTAGCTGTTGGTGCTTACAGTCACCAGAGTGGTTAACGGGGGAACTGGAAGGATACGAGGGGCCCTCCCTCATTAAACTAATTACCAAAAAACGACGGAGAAAATCAACTAAGCCTGTGTCGGAGGCATTGAGGGGACCAGCGTCTGTAACGTCTTGTTGCCAAACCTCATATCGTGGAGCTAGGAGACTGAACCCCCCCTCTCAGGGTCCCTCCATAAATAACAGGCAATCACTAAGGCTGGCCATGTGGAACGTCCAAATGGTCGCAGGGGAAACGAGAGGCTGCTATTCCTCTTGGGACCTCCCTTGCCTGTATCAAAATATAACAAGAGGTTTTACCCTTTCTGGCAATAAAACAGGTGTTAAGATGTTAAAATACCTAACTGAAACCTTTTGCAAGGTTGCAAGGTTTCAGTTTGTCCCATGATGTAGCTGCTCATCCCATGCATCTCAATGTCCTGATAGTGTATTGTCTGTGTGCTGTTCACCTTTTGGCGTCCTCTGGTCTAACACTGTTTGAGGCTAGGCTCTAAAAGAAAGCTGTTTCCGGTGTGGACCAATCAGTTTCAAGGAAAATGCATCATCATATACTACCAGAGCATATTTTTGTTTGCATGTTCACCATAAGCATATGTGCTTAATACAGACATGATTCCTTTCAAAAGGTTTCAGTTTGGTGTTTTAACATCTGAACACCTTCATGATAAAAGGTTTTTGGGTTAGATCGCGTTATCTGTAAATGTGTCGTAACCCTCCACCACCCGACACGGCCAAACAGTAGAAAATGTGTCACGTTTACAAAGGACAAATAGTTCACTACTTTAGCCCACCGGTGTGTTGAAGAGTGAATCAACATCATTTAAAATTTGAGTACGACGTTTCGCTGGTAATTCCATCCAGCATCATCGGGCATTTCGGCAGAATGTTAAAGCCCTCACTTGCTCCCGGGTCTTAAATAGAGCAGCAGGGTGACGTCATCATTTAACTCATTCAGGTGCAGTGATTTGAGGCGAAGGGGGGGGGGTATTGTAATTATATAATCGATTGGTAATCAGTCAATGGTTATTAGTCATGAGTTGTAGATTAGTAATTAGTTGTAGTGTGTGTTATTGTGATTATATGCTTCGTTAGTAATCCGTTAATTAGAATGTGTTTAACCCTATAAGGAATTATAGTATGTATTATTTAATAATACGCTTCCAAGCCGCACTAAGCCTGTAGCTGTCAGAGCGATTAAAGTTATTTCTATTTCAATCAATTGCAATGGATTCTCTAATTGTGTACAGTACACAAAATTCTAAAACTAGTATCTTGCACTAAAGAGGAATGATCTAAATTATCAACAGAAGGTGTATATCGGATTAATTGTTTATGTGGCAGATGCTATATTGGACAGACGGGAAGTAACATCAGCGTAAGACTAAAAGAACACCAAAGAGATATTAAATTATCTCAACCACCTGTCGGCAGTGGCAGAACATGCTTGTCAACAAGGACACTCAATTGATTTTGATACTGTTGAAGCGTTGTGTAAAACTAATTATTACTGGCAAAGACTAATTAGGGAAACCATTTAAATTGAGAGAAATAGAAATAACTTTAATCGCTCTGACAGCTACAGGCTTAGTGCGGCTTAGAAGCGTATAATTAAATAATACATATTACAATCCTTATAGAGGAAACACATACTAATTAACGGATTATTAACGTAGCATATAATCACAATAACACACATTACAACTAATTACTAATCTACAACTCATTACTAATCATAACCATTGACTGATTACCAATCGATTATATAATTATCGATTGGTAATCCCCCCCCTCCGCCTCAAAGCACTGCACCTGAATGAGTTAAATGATGGTGGCGCCCTGCTGCTCTATTTAAGACCGGGAGCAAGTGAGGGCTTTACCATTCTGGCGAATTGCCCGATGATGCTGGATGTAATTACCAGCGAAACGTCGTACTCAAATTTTAAATGATGATGATTCACTCTTCAACACACCGGTGGGCTAAAGTAGTGAACCATTTGTCCTTTGTAAACGTGACACATTTTTTACTGTTTGGCCATGTCGGGTGGTGGAGGGTTACGACACATTTATAAATAACGCGATCTAATCCAAAAACCTTTATTATGAATAATATTGATTGCGAAAGCCTACATGTTAAACTGATCTGAACACCTGTTTTATTACCAGAAAGGGTAAAACCTATTCTCATGCTATTCCTCTGTCGGGATCTGCACTGGTACCACCGAGACCTCTATGGAATAAGAAGGTCCAGTGGATTGGTTCTAGCTCCAGTGACGATGAATGGTAGACAGCTCACCACTCGGGAAAGCATAACATCAGACAACAGGGAGTGGCCTTTTGTGTGAATAACAGAATGAAGAGGGCATGGACGCGTGGGTGTGAGGTGTGGGAAGCCGTGAGTCCCAGCCTATTATGGACACACCTCCCCATCAACACGAGGCAAGGGCTGGTGTTGACGTGGCTTACACCCCCCAAAAAAGATGAAGATGAGTAAGAGGGATGCATGGCAAGGTTATTTTGTGTCAAGTACCTTCTGCTGTGACCTGTCCCAGGTGCTGGCTAGAGCATTGGATTGATCATAGTTTGTGATCACGATGATCGTACGAGACTGTTGAATCATCATGGGGAGGTGGAGTGAATCATTGTACATGGTGCCAGTGGAGGACCCGGCCTCACCTGCGTGTGGCTGTCCATCCACGGGCCGCGGTGCCGGTGAGAGAGAGGGTGGGGATGGCGTGTGTGGCCGGCGTGATGGGCGCGCCTCACCGGGGGGACTACCCCGCCGCTCCCCGTTCACTTCCCCTGCCTTGGGGCCTTGGGGCTGTGCGAGACGGGGAGGAGGGCGGTGGCATTACTAGGCAGCGATCCTTCTTACGCGCAAAGACAAAGATCGCCCATGTAACTTGAACAGACTGTTGGGGCACGTGCTGCTAGTGAGTACCTATGAAGGCTGAGAAAGCACGTTGGGGATAGTGTTGCCAGTCCCGAAAACCACTCAAATTACATATGTATTCATGTGTGTGTATGTATTGCCACACACGCTTGTGTGTCATGCATATACGCCAAAGTGTGTGTCGTGTTTATCAGCAATGGTTAGTGCGCCGCACTACAAACCCAGCAATGCGGGTTCAATTCCCGCTCACGCCCAACACCGGTGACGATTTTGGGAATTGTCCTGGGCCTCCCCTAGGTCAACTGAGCCTCAAATGAGTACCTGGTGCGATGTGTAAACATCGACAAAGGTGGCCAGGCGTAGTGCTGACCACCCACCCCCTTGTGTGCCGTACAGGCCTTCACAGCTGCTCACTCACAGCACTTGAACCTACAGCTTGTTAAAGCTATAAGGGTGATCTTTGTCTTTGGTGTATATCAGCACACACTCACAATCATCTACATGCATTAGTGTGTGTGGTGTGTATCGGCACAATCCCTTGCGACTGGCTGTTTTGTTTAAGGTGTCAAGAGTGGTATTCCACAAAACCCCCACCCACGCTCACTCACCTCTCCAGAGCCAGCCGTCCCCACCTGCACCACCTGCAGGTTCACCGCCGTCGTCTGTGGGGGCGGCAGCGTCGAGGTGGCGGCGACGGCAGTTGTGGATGAGGTGGACGAGGTGGGAGGGGCGGCACGTGGAGAGGAGTGTACGCAGGGGTGCGCTGTGTTTCTGGATGTCGTCACTCCCGAGGAGGAGCCGGAGGAAGTGAACGAGGAGGAGGACGACGAAGCAGACGATGATGATGATGTCACTGCCGTTACTGTCATCGTCGAGTGGGGCTGGGCGCATGGGGTCGCGCAGGAGCTCGGGGAGACGAGGTGGTTCGCTCCGGAAGCCGATGACGACGATGATGATGTTGCGCCCACCACCTACACAGCGACCGAGCAGCCAAATCGCGTGAGTTATTTGGTTAAAAGAGAGGGGTACATACAGTGAGGGGAAAAAAAGTATTTGATCCCCTGCTGATTTTGTACGTTTGCCCACTGACAAAGAAATTATCAGTCTATAATTTTAATGGTAGGTTTATTTGAACAGTGAGACGCAATAACAACAACAAAAATCCAGAAAAACGCATGTCAAAAATGTTATGAATTGATTTGCATTTTAATGAGGGAAATAAGTATTTGACCCCTCTGCAAAACATGACTTAGTACTTGGTGGCAAAACCCTTGTTGGCAATCACAGAGGTCAGACGTTTCTTGTAGTTGGCCACCAGGTTTGCACACATCTCAGCAGGGATTTTGTCCCACTCCTCTTTGCAGATCTTCTCCAAGTCATTAAGGTTTCGAGGCTGATGTTTTGAAACTCGAACCTTCAGCTCCCTCCACAGATTTTTTTATGGGATTAAGGTCTGGAAACTGGCTAGGCCACTCCAGGACCTTAATGTGCTTCTTCTTGAGGCACTCCTTTGTTGCCTTGGCCGTGCATTTTGGGTCATTGTCATGCTGGAATACCCATCCACGACCCATTTTCAATGCCCTGGCTGAGGGAAGGAGGTTCTCACCCAAGATTTGACGGTACATGGCCCCGTCCATCGTCCCTTTGATGCGGTGAAGTTGTCCTGTCCCCTTAGTAGAAAAACACCCCGAAAGCATGTTTCCACCTCCATGTTTGACAGTGGGGATGGTGTTCTTGGGGTCATAGGCAGCATTCCTCCTCCGCCAAACACGGCGAGTTGAGTTGATGCCAAAGAGCTCCATTTTGGTCTCATCTGACCACAACTTTCACCCAGTTGTCCTCTGAATCATTCAGATGTTCATTGGCAAACTTCAGATGGGCATGTATATGTGCTTTCTTGAGCAGGGGGACCTTGCGGGTGCTGCAGGATTCCAGTCCTTCACGGCGTAGTGTGTTACCAATTGTTTTCTTGGTGACTATGGTCCCAGCTGCCTTGAGATCATTGACAAGATCCTCCTGTCTAGTTCTGGGCCGATTCCTCACCGTTCTCATGATCACTGCAACTCCACGAGGTGAGATCTTGCATGGAGCCCCAGGCCGAGGGAGATTGACAGTTCTTTTAAGTTTCTTCCATTTGCGAATAATCGCACCAACTGTTGTCACTTCTCACCAAGCTGCTTGCCAATGGTCTTGTAGCCCATTCCAGCCTTGTGTAGGTCTACAATCTTGTCCCTGACATCCTTGGAGAGCTCTTTGGTCTTGGCCATGGTGGAGAGTTTGGAATCTGATTGATTGATTGCTTCTGTAGACAGGTGTCTTTTATACAGGTAACAAGCTGAGATTAGGAGCACTCCCTTTAAGAGTGCTCCTAATCTCAGCTCATTACCTGTATAAAAGACACCTGGGAGCCAGAATTCTTTCTGATTGAGGGGGGGGGGGTCAAATACTTATTTCCCTCATTAAAATGCAAATCAATTTATAAAATTTTTGACATGCGTTTTTCTGGATTTTGTTGTTGTTATTCTGTCTCTCACTGTTCAAATAAACCTACCATTAAAATTATAGACTGATAATTTCTTTGTCAGTGGGCAAACGTACAAAATCAGCAGGGGATCAAATACTTTTTTCCCTCACTGTAAGTCCCACTGGCCCGTTACGGCCCACCCAAAAGGTCTGTCAAATACTTTTGGAGAGCCACACATAAGCACACACCAAAAATATTCCCATCTTGTATTCGATCAGTGCAGTTAAGATGCTTGCAGTGACCGATAAATATCGCTTGCAGAACATTTCAAGGTATGGCCGTGTGCCATATGAAATGAAGTCATGAGCCATGTATAAAATTAAGTTGTGGGTTGTATGAATTGAATATATCACGGGGCTGGCTCGGTCGCCCAACCCGGCTTGAAAACAATACGATGCAAATAGAATAAACATGCGAGTTGGGTGCTCACCTGAGTGGCTCCATACGCTTGTGCCGCTGGGGGCAGATGGGATCCGCTGGCCCCCATCACGGCACTCTGCTGTCTCTGACTGACGGTGCCAGCCACTCCCATCGCCACCTGCCCGGCCTGTACCGGTGCATGCTGGGAAAGCAATGCATGATGGGAACAGACGGCGGAAGCAGCGGCGGTGGTGGTGGTGGTAGTGGCAGCACTCTGTGACACGTGACTGGTCGCCTGATGCTGCTGTTGCTGATGCTGTTTGTGCTGCAAATGCTGTCCATGAAGAAGCTGCTGCTGTTGCAGCTGCTTGTGCTGCTGCTGTTGCTGTGTTTGAATGAGGTGATGCTGCTGTTGCTGCTGCATTGACGTATAGGTAGCTGCAGGGATAGTAACACGAGAGAACGTTAGGGAACGCAGTGAAACTTTGAACCAATTTAAAGGTCCAAACCCCAAAAGACCAACAGCTCTTATCAATGCATATGGGAGCATGTAGCAGAAGTATAAGATGCAGTTGTCATGAGAATTATTACCATGCCCAACTTCTAATGCTCGATGCCTTCACAATCTCGCACTGACCAGCACACTGAAGTATGGTCAAATAACCCTCACAACTGGCACGGCATGTTGAGGCCCTCATCCAGCACCGAATTGACAACAGTGCCGTACATGTTTTCAATATTTTCATTTGTGTATCTTTCATTGATGGGCGATGTTGCTATCTGTAAATCTCAATCGAGTTATTTGTAGGCATTTTTATTTGCATTGGGATGTTTGTCCAATACCAGTTACATTGTGTGTTCTTGCTTTTGAGCCCAATATAGTTTATTCAGAGCAGGTTACTGTTGTTCTAAGTGTATCGGAGTATATAGCATAGGGGTAGGAGATTATGTTATTGTGGAAATTGTCAGTGTCGTATTTTAATTGAAGCACAGCTAAGCCCACTCGTGAGTTCCCTTCCCATTCACTCACTCGAGTTGATATGCAGCGTTCCCCGATCATTGGTGTTGAGCATCCAGTGCGGTCCTCCTGAAAATGACAATCGATTAATCTCTGACACAGTTAAAACCACATCAACACCGACAAGTCCTAATCATAAAACTCCACATTCATAGAAATGTTCCCACTGTGCACTTCTCAATATAATCCTAGTTCATCCAGAAAAGCCTCGTCCTGCCAAGAATTCGAAAGGAGGGAGCGATATTGCCCGTGTGTAATTGAAATTGAGTAAATTGGAGGTCATTTTTTTTGCCGGAGAACCCCCGAGGAAATACATGGAGAACACGGGGAGGCCATACACTCTCCGTACAAAGAGGTGCCCGAGTTCGGAAAAGAACCCAGGCCCTTCTTGCTGTGAGGTACCAGTGTTACCACTACACCACCCTGCTGCCCACAATAATAGTTCATTGGAGTAGAATGTACCTGTGTGGAGATTACATCCACCCAGCAGTAAGCAGAAATGTACATGTCCACTCAGCAGTATAAATGAGTAAAACACACAGTTAGTTGATTGGCAGAACATGTGAGGTTGGGTAAAGTGTAAGTACTCCCACTTCTTCAAAAGATGTATGGCCAGTGTGGAAGAGTAGGCAAAAATATATTCAGGAGAGGGGCTCCCTCGAACTCCCTCTAGTGGAGGCCCTTTCACCAGCAGTGGCGTGAGCAAGAAATTGCAGGGCTACACCTTTACCTTAAACTACATCCATGGCGAACACCAGTGGCGAGTGCTGCCTGAACTGGTCATAGCTCCCCACCTTCACTAATCCACGCCGACTAGTGTGGTGAAGTATGGTCAAACAACCCCAATGACCGACATGGCTAAGGGAGAAACTAATGCATTCAGCAGATTGACAAGGAGCTGTAAGTTATATTTGTTGTATTTATTTTATATGCAATTAGAATTTAATATGTGTGAGAAAGCCTCACCGAGTCTCACAAACTCACGATGCGTTGTTGTGGAGCATCAAGAGTAAAAGCAAATATAAGGAGAACACTATTCTGCATCTCCACATATAAACATGTGTTCAAGTTTATCGGCCTATCGGGTTTTCAGGCCAATATTAACCAGCAACACTTTTTAATCAAGAAAACTTTGGGCTGGTTTCAACATTCTGAGTCTCATCTCCTTCCATGTTCCCTCCTGTCATCTTCGTTCCCAATCTTCTCTGTCTGTCCCTCCTTCTCCCTGTGCCCTACTCCATTCCTGGTCCTCCTCCCTCCTTGCTCCCCTCCACTGGAATAAACATCCCCTGTACATTAAGCAGTCCCCCCCTCTTTAACCTCCTTCCATTCCTCTCTTAAAGATTACCTCTTCACTATTGCTCATTCTCTTTCAGCCCCTCGCCACTTGCCATCCCTCCCCTACCCTTCAATGATCCCCAAGTATCCTCTATCGCTGTCACTCATTCCTCAATCCATGTACGCCCGTCAACTACATCATTCAATTCTGGCATCGTTTTGTGAGCTATGTCAAGCCCCTTGAGTGAAGGCACTCTATACATAAAAATTAGATTAAACAAATGCTGCAGGATTACCAGATATTATTGGTAAGAACACTGAATCTGAACTCTAGGCCCTGTTCAATGCATAAAAAAGCAATTTCGTATACAAAACCATTCCGCACTGCTGTGATACCAGTCTACCAAATACGTGGCTCACTGAGTCACCAGATGTCACCTGAAGTGATGGGCAGCAGTGGATACCCAGCCGCTGTCGCTGACCCAGCCACCGAGCCTGCCGCCATGCGTGCCGTCCCCCCTCGCCCGTCCCCGCTTCCCATCATGCCGTGCTGCTGCTGCTGCTGCTGCTGAGTCATGATGTTTGCCTGTAGGTCTCCTTTCTTGCCACAGTCGCCCATGAGCTCTGTGTGCCCACCCGATTTGGGAGACTTAGCCTGGTTGGTGCCGGGCAGGTGGGGCACACCCATGCCACCAGTGCCAGCGCCGACACCGCCGCCTCCGCCGCTGTTGATGTTGTTGCCACCGCTGGCCTTGAGAGGGACGCTCTGAGATGAAGCAATGCCGCTCAGACCCAGAGGCTGCCCCGCTGAGCGAGACACCAGGTTCTGATGCCGCGAAACACCGAGAAATTAACGAGAAAAAAAATCAATGGTACGCACACTCGGATTCTGTAACGCTTTCCGAGATGCGTTTGCCCTCAGAAGCAATTTAACGAGGGATAGCGAAATTATGTTGACGCCAACTGCGAGAGCAGACGTCACCCTGTAACGACAAGATCAGGAGAGGAGGCGCCTTTCCCTCCACTGCAGACAGATGGAGAGACAGGCATACGACTGAGAGACAGACACTGACGGAGGGACAGGTCCACTAACAGAGACACAGATGCAGAGATAGGCTTTTGATGGTCAAACTGGAATAATGGCATAACGATGGACATATGGACAGACAGGAATACAGCGAGGGAAACAAGTATTTGATCCCCTGCTGATTTTGTACATTTTCCCACTGACAAAGAAATGATCAGTCTATCATTTTAATGGTAGGTTTATTTGAACAGTGAGAGACAGAATAACAACAAAAAAATCCGGAAAAACGCATGTCAAAAAATGTTATAAATTGATTTGCATTTTTATGAGAGAAATAAGTATTTGACCCCCCTCTCAATCAGAAAGATTTCTGGCTCCCGGGTGTCTTTTATAAAGGTAACGAGCTGAGATTAGGAGCACTCTTAAAGGGAGTGCTCCTAATCTCAGCTTGTTACCTGTATAAAAGACACCTGTCCACAGAAGCAATCAATCAATCAATCAGATTCCAAACTCTCCACCATGGCCAAGACCAAAGAGCTCTCCAAGGATGTCAGGGACAAGATTGTAGACCTACACAAGGCTGGAATGGGCTACAAGACCATTTCCAAGCAGCTTGGTGAGAAGGTGACAACAGTTGGTGCGATTATTCGCAAATGGAAGAAACACAAAAGAACTGTCAATCTCCCTCGGCCCGCGGCTCCATGCAAGATCTCACCTCGTGGAGTTGCAATGATCATGAGAACGGTGAGGAATCAGCCCAGAACTACACGGGAGGATCTTGTCAATGATCTCAAGGCAGCTGGGACCATAGTCACCAAGAAAACAATTGGTAACACACTACGCCGTGAAGGACTGAAATCCAGCAGCGCCCGCAAGGTCCCCCTGCTCAAGAATGCACATATATACATGCCCGTCTGAAGATTGCCAATGAACATCTGAATGATTCAGAGGACAACTGGGTGAAAGTGTTGTGGTCAGATGAGACCAAAATGGAGCTCTTTGGCATGAACTCAACTCGCCGTGTTTGGAGGAGTAATGCTGCCTATGACCCCAAGAACACCATCCCCACCGTCAAACATGGAGGTGCAAACATTATGCTTTGGGGGTGTTTTTCTACTAAGGGGACAGGACAACTTCACTGCATCAAAGGGACGATGGACGGGGCCATGTACCGTCAAATCTTGGGTGAGAACCTCCTTCCCTCAGCCAGGGCATTGAAAATGGGTCGTGGATGGGGATTCCAGCATGACAATGACCCAAAACACACGGCCAAGGCAACAAAGGAGTGGCTCAAGAAGAAGCACATTAAGGTCCTGGAGTGGCCTAGCCAGTCTCCAGACCTTAATCCCATAGAAAATCTGTGGAGGGAGCTGAAGGTTCGATTTGCCAAACGTCAGCCTCGAAACCTTAATGACTTGGAGAAGATCTGCAAAGAGGAGTGGGATAAAATCCCTCCTGAGATGTGTGCAAACCTGGTGGCCAACTACAAGAAACGTCTGACCTCTGTGATTGCCAACAAGGGTTTTGCCACCAAGTACTAAGTCATGTTTTGCAGAGGGGTCAAATACTTATTTCCCTCATTAAAATGCAAATCAATTTATAAAAATTTTGACATGCGTTTTTCTGGATTTTGTTGTTGTTATTCTGTCTCTCACTGTTCAAATAAACCTACCATTAAAATTATAGACTGATCATTTCTTTGTCAGTGGGCAAACGTACAAAATCAGCAGGGGATCAAATACTTTTTTCCCTCACTGTACCAGCTGACAGACATACAAATACAAGCAGTCCCCGCTTTTACGTCACAATGCATTCCTGGAAACCCCGTCGTAAAATCGGATCGTGGTAAAACAGACCATATTTTCCCAGTCAGTGGGAACAGTAGAAACATTACTTGCCGATGTGTTTTCCTATTATCAGCCATATTTAACAGGGCTTAATAGGTGAAAATCCACAAGAAACACTTGAAAATAAAAGCTCCACGCCAAGTCACATCGGAAACCGGACTGACTTGTTTGAACGCGTTCAGAGTCGTGTCGTAAGAAGCATCATAAATCGATCCGGTCGCCCTACATAAACGATGTAAATGTGGATCATCATAAATCAAAGCATTTGTAAACCGGAGACTGCCTATAGATGGAGAGACAGGCATATTGACGACAGTTTGATGGAAGACAGTGGGAGGGACAGGCAGATAGAGGGGCGCGGGCTTTCACTCTCGTACCCTCGCTCTCTCTCACCTGAGCAGCCACTGACTGCGCTGCGCCGGTGGAGGGGGCCGAGTGCGATGCCGTCGTCTCTGGCTGCAGGGTGGTGACGGTGCCGCTTGGCGTCAGGATCAGCTGCGGGGAGGATGGTGGGAGAGAGCAAGCGGGAGGGTGAGTGTGATAGAGCAGAGAGGTTGAGTGGATGGGAAAGGCTGAATCGGAGGAAGAGCAAGTAGGGCAGTCCGGGTAATTATGGCCTCGTTGTACATCTGCAAGATAATAGACGTTTGCTTTTTGGATTATGCCCTCCTTGATTGTGTCCACTTATCTCAGTGAGGTGGATATCATAAAACTACTTCTGAGATCTATTCCAGTGCACATTGGGAAACGAAAGGGGGGAGCATACAGCTACTGATTCAGATATCACTCGCCACTGATATTTAACTGCTGTACATTTTTCCCAATAAGCCACTTCGTTGAACTATCATTTGTCACCAGGTCGCTTCTGAAAAACAGCTATACGTCTCAGTGGGCCTTACCTGGTAAATTAAAACTATTTTAAAATATAGTAATAGGTTTTTACCCTTTTATCTGGCACCAAAACTGACACCTTTATACAAGGGATCATGTTTGCAATAACCACAACACAAGCAGTCAAAATGCAAACAAAAAGAGACAACTCTGATAATGATATGCACTGTCCTTGAAATTGATTGGTCCACACCCGAGACGGCTTTTCTTAGAGCTTAGTCTCCACTGGTGTTGGCGTCATCTGGTCCAACACCAGTGGAGACTAGGCTCTAAGAAAAGCCGTCTCGGGTGTGGACCAATCAATTTCAAGGACAGTGCATATCATTATCAGAGTTGTCTCTTTTTGTTTGCATTTTGACTGCTTGTGTTGTGGTTATTGCAAACATGATCCCTTGTATAAAGGTGTCAGTTTTGGTGCCAGATAAAAGGGTAAAAACCTATTACTATATCTTGCTACTGGCAAAGGAGGTCTCAATATTTTAAAATAGTTTTAAATTTTAGCCACCTGGATTCATCGCGTAAGTACTGTGCCAGTCCTCCACCACGTTACTGAAGTTGAATACTTTGTGTATAAAATTATGTGTACCCACTAAAGTATGTGTTGATTCTCACCTACCTCACAACCCTCAACTGAACAAATTGTCATGATGGATCTTATTAATCTGAGAATGGACCCGTGTTAATTTGTAGTCTTAGTCGAGTCCACGACACCAGTGGAATCTTCATCAAATCTCAAGCCGATGGTCTCATGTTGTTATTCTGTTAGTTTAGCCAACTTAGAGCAGTCAAACATTTAGTTGCTGTTAGTTATTCAATGTTGGTGTGAGGAACATGCAAATCCGCACCCCCCCCCCCCCAGCAGTATTATCAGCACAGCCAATCAGTGAAATCAGTGACTCTCCTTATATACATATGACCACGTTTGGTCTTCCCCAGTGCACTGCAGTTTTTAGCCTAGGTTATTAAATCATCTAAGGCTACGTCTTCATTCAAACGCCTTAAGCCCATCTCATCAAAGTCAGGAAGGATCTGGTATTTGGTGGTATTCATAGCCGTCGTCACACCTGTTGCCATTTGTCCACTTATAGTAACCGTAGTATAAAAATGAAAAAATGTTGTTAACATTCTCGCCTCCTCACCATCTGCGCTCGTAGATACATCTGAGCCTGGTTGATCTGCCCGGGTGTGGCCGAGTTGCCCAGGAGCACAGCTTGCTGGGCAAGGCCGCTCACGGGCTGCGTGGAGACGCCCTGAGTCCGGCCAATCATGGCCGAGTTCGGAGTCAAATTAATCTGAAGGGAGGAAGGGAGGGGGAGGCATGACAGGGAGGGAAGGCTGTCCCGACATGAGTTTCAAGATCGAAAACGGGATCTGAGCAGTGCTGACTGTTGTTGAGATAGCCATTATCAACCCCATATCACTAAATATAGGAAGAGAGACCCATACCTGGGGCCTGATCTTAAAGCCTTCAGCTCTACGGTCACTTAACGATGTCACCTAAATTCATTTCCCAATGTACAAGATCTCTCAGCCTTATCCAAACCACCAGTTCAAAAGAACTGAATGTGACTTTTGTCATTTAGACCACCAACTCGAAGAGTAAAGAAAAAGTGGTTGTGCCGATAGGCAGCAGTGAAACAAATACCACTGCAAACCTGTTTCATCCTTGCTAGGAATCATCAGTATACTCTAGTCATCAATGTGTGATGCTGCAATATGCCTCTGGGAGCATCATGTGTATATAGTGTCCAAAAATGAATAAACCAAAAAGAGGAATAATTTTATTGTTACTCGAGAGACTGACGTAAATTTGATATTAATATATGCATTATAATTATAGGTTTTAGTTTGTTGAGAAGAATAGTCGGTACTCTCTTTCTCTTTCAGGAGAAACCCCATTTTCTTATATGTAAATGTCATTTTTGTCTGTCTGTGTGTTCACGTGCTTGCGAGGGATTTGTCTCTCAAACGGTGGGGTTTACGTAAAAAATGTTTAGCCAGGCACCACGCCGTAAGCCCCGCGGTTGGCAAGCGCTATAACTTTTTTTACGTCCGTCACCTTTAAATTAGGTTAATTAGCGATTGTGCGGTTTTTCGTTATTTATTGCGCGCTCGATCACACCAACTCACGCATTTTTGGTGGGGGGGGAAGGACCATGCCAAGTCACACGCGTTCGGTGGGGGTGAAATGTTATTTCGCGTTAAAAATGCTACAAAAAAAACACAACGCTGAGGTACATTCTTCACTGTTTGATGCCCCCCCCCCAACCCCGATGCGTACAATTACTACGATAGAGTCCGTACATATTAATATAGTGCTTAGATAGTATTTTTTTGCACGGCCGGGGGGGATGGTGGAGGGGGGTAGCGGCCCAGCCCCCAGCCTGCCGGCTGGGCAATCTAGGCAAGGCCATGGGATCTGCACGGGACTAGGCCTCACCACGCCACTGTCAGGTTCGTGCCATACAGTCGATATAGACTGCTATAGAGTCAGCATTTACTACTGTTGTGCTAGCACGTACCACCACAGTCAGTATGCACTGCTGTAATCATAGCAGGTTACACCACAGTATGCACTGCTGTAGTGAGAGCAGCTACCACCACAGTATGCTCTGCTGTAATCATAGCAGTGACCACCAATCAGTATGCACTGCTGTAGTGAAAGCAGGTACCACCAACGTCGGTATGGACTGCTGTAGTTATAGCAGACACCACCAGTCGGTATGCACTGCTGTAGTGAAAGTAGGTTCAAAGTCGGTATGCACTGCTGTAGCCATAGCAGCCACCACCACAGTCAGTATGCACTGCTGTAATCATAGCAGGTTACACCGCAGTATGCACTGCTGTAGTGAGAGCAGCTACCACCACAGTATGCACTGCTGTAATCATAGCAGTGACCACCACAGTCAGTATGCACTGCTGTAGTGAAAGCAGGTACCAAAGTCGGTATGTACTGGTGTCATCATAGCAGGCACCACCACATTCAGTATGCACTGCTGTAATCATACCAGGTACCACCAGTCAGTATGCACTGCTGTAATCATACCAGGTGCCACCACAATATGCACTGCTGTAATCATAGCAGGTACCACCACAGTCAGTATGCACCGCTGTAATCATACCAGGTACCACCGCACTCAGTATGCACTGCTGTAATCATAGCAGGTACCACCACATTCAGTATGCACTGCTGTTGTGAAAGCAGGTCCCACCAAAGTCACTATGCACTGCTGTAGTGATAGCAGCAACTACCACAGTATGCACTGCTGTTATCATAGCAGGTACCACCACAGTCAGTATGCACAGCTGTAGTGAAAGCAGGTACCACCACAGTCAGTATGCACTGTGATAGTGATAGCAGGTACCACCACAGGATGCACTGCTGTAGTGAAAGCAGGTACCACCAGTCGGCATGCACTGCTGTGGTGATAGCAGGTACCACCACAGTCAGTATGCACTGTGATAGTAGGTACCACCACAGTATGCACTGCTGTAATAATAGCAGGTACCATCACATTCAGTATGTACGCTGTAGCGAAAGCAGGTACCACCACAGTATGCACTGTTATCATAGCAGGTACCATCAGTCAGTGTGCATTCCTGTAGTGAAAGCAGGTACCACCAAAATCGATATGCACTGCTGTAGTGATACCAGGCACCACCCTAGTCGGTATGCACTGCCGTGGTGATACCAGGTACCTCCACAGTCGGTATGCACTGCCGTGGTGATACCAGGTACCACCATAGTCAGTATGCACTGCTGCAGTCATAGCAGGTTACACCACAGCCAGTAGGCACTGATGTAGTGATACCAGGAACCACCACAGTCGGTGTGCACTGCCGTAGTTAAAGCAGGTACCACCACCAGTCGGTATGCACTGCTGTAGTGATAGCAGTGCATACAGTCGATGTCTGTGTTAGTCAATGTGTGTGCGTGGTGTGTGTGTGTAGACAATTACTAATTGAAAATTAAGTTACTTATTTTAACAATAATAATGCGTGTGTCTACGTCCATGTGTGCTTGCGAGTCGATGTGCGTGCCTGCGGTGATGTGTGTGTGCAAGTCCATGTGTCTGTGTGTGCGAGTCAATGTGTTTGTGTGTGCAAGTCGATGTGTCTGTGTGCGAGTCGATGTGTTTGTGTGTGTGAGTCGATATGTGTGTGTGTCAGTCGCTGTGTGTGCGTAGCTCCATGTGATTCAGTGCAAGTCCATTTCTTTGCGTGTATGTAGGTCCATGTGTGCGTGTGAGTGCATGTGTGTGTACGTACGTGTGTGTAAGTCCATGTGTATGTGTCAGTCCATGTGTGTGTGGCTCTATGTGTGTGTGAGTCGATGTGTGTGCTTGTGTGCGAGTCTATGTGCGTCAGTCGATGTGTGTCCGGCAATATGTATGTGTGTGAGAGTCCATGTGTGTGCGTCGATATATGTGTGTGTAAGTCCATGTGTGTGTGTGTGTGTTTAAGTCCAGGTGTGTGTGTGGGTCCATGTGTGTGTGTTTTTTAGGTGATGTGTCTTTATAAGTCCATGTGTGTGTGAAGATACATTTTTGTGTGAGTCTATGTATCTGTGTGTGTACGTACATGTGTGTGTACATACATGTGTGTGTGTACGTACATGTATGTGTGTACGTACATGTGTGTGTGTGTGTGTAAGTCCATGTGTGTGTGTAAGTCCATGTGTGTGTGGCTCTATGTGCGTGTGTGAGTCGATGTGTGTGCTTGTGTGTGAGTCTGTATGTGAGTCAATGTGTGTACGGCAATGTGTGTATGTGTGTGAGAGTCCGTGTGTGTGTGTGTGTGCGTCGATATGTGTGTGTAAATCCATGTGTGTAAGTCCACGTGTGTTCGTGGGTCCATGTGTGTGTGTAAGTCCATGTGTGTGTTTCTTAGTCGATATGTGTGTCTTTGTAAGTCCATATGTGTGTGTAGGTCAATTTGTGTGCGAGTATTTGTATCTGTGTGTGTGAGTGGATATGTGTAAGTCTATGTGTGTGTGTGAGTCGATGTGTGTGTGTAAGTCTGTGTGTGTGTGTTTCTTAGTCGATGTGTCTTTGTAAGTCCATATGTGTGTGTGTGTAGGTCTATTTGTGTGTGTAAGTCTATGTGTGTGAGTCAGTGTGTGTGTGTAACTCCATGTCTGTGTGTGTCTAAAGTCGATGTCTGTGTGTGCGAGTCCATATGTGTGTGTGTAAGTCGATGTGTTTCTATGTGTGTGGGTCGATGTCTGTGTGTAAGTCGATGAGTGTGTCTGTCTTTTTGCCCGGGCAACGCCGGGTACTTACCGCTAGGATGATATAATGACAAGTCCGCCCATTCACCCGACTTAACACCATGAGATTTTTACGTCTGGGATTTTAAAAAAAAGTAAAGTCTATGCTCGCAAACCAAGGGACCTTGAAGAACTTAAACACCATATTGTTGATGCCGTGTCATCCATCCCTACAGGTGTGTTGGAAAACCTTTTCTCAGAGTTTGAACGTTGAATTAGATTGATTATAGTGAATGATGGACGACATATAGAAGTGTATTAATAATTCGAGAATATCTAATCAATACCATAAAAAAATTAAAACTCAAGCCTATAACATGTTAGGTGACATAGAATCGGTCAAGTAGCAGCATAGCGCTTGCTGCTGGCAGGGAAGGGGATCTGCAGCTTACAGCAGCCCTGACTTACAGCAGGCCACGTGATAGACCAGAGAGGGATCTAGGGGAAATGTTACGGAAGGGGCACATCGAGAACCCGCTGGTAGGTTCCAGAGGTGGGCGTAGCCAGGGGCGGAGCCAGGCCACGCTGATAGCAGAAGAGGGGCCCTGAGAGGGGACCTCGTGGCTGTTGTTTGGAGTGGGATCCCGTCATGCTGCTGAAGTCTTCACTGTCATCGCCATCTTCACCATCTCGGCGTTGCCAGTCAAGCAGTCTACCAGCTGTCCTGACTGGGAACTGTAGTTACTATATGTTACTGTCAGGCTGTGTTAATAAACAGTGCCTCCTACTCTTAGTGTCTCTGAGTCAGTTACTACACATGTATTCATATTAAATATATGTCAGTATCTTAAATAACAATAAAATGATTCAACATTCTCTTTGGTAAACAGCAATTCCGCGGAAACCACAGTTTTGATTCAAGTATCCACGCATAATATGCCGTTTTGGCTACCACGGTATACAGTTTCACGTAACCACGGTTTAGTTTTCCTCTACCCATCGGCCACCAGGAGCGCATCATGCGCGTGTACCCTCACTTGCCTGCGTATAGTACTTGTCCGCGTCGTTCAGTATTGTGCAGCAGTCATCAAGGCGTAGTGCTGTAATTTATACCTCGTGAAAGTGTACTATAACTCCTGTATAACACCACTAATTTTCCCTTAATTATGGCCACTACGCGTCGAACTGGTGGTGAACTGCTTGCGTGTGGAGAGAGTGCGGCGACAGTAGGACGGCATATGGCTGTGAGCGAGTCAAAGCCTCCTCCCCTAACATCGTCGGTCAACATTGTCTGCACTTCACTATAAATATTAAAGGTAATTAAAAGTATTTTTGCTCGCTTTCAATAAAAATATTTGTTCATTTGTGTACGTTCTACAGGACTGTACATATTTTCACATTTACTTAAGGCATAGGATGCGTCGTTAGGCTTCGATGAGAGTGTTCATTGTGGCTGCGGAACCTATTTTTCCATAAACCTTAGTCTTGCCAACCACGGTTTTTCCAACCATGGGGGGTTTCAGTAACCTAAGCCCCACGGTTGGTGAGGGATTGCTATAGTTATTTTCAGATACCCCGTATACATGGGGATCTGTGTGTAGAGTTTTACTCACGGAAGCCTGGGAGACACTGACACCACCGCTACCACCACTGCCACCACCACCACCACCCTGTTGCCCAGCGCTAGGGCCATTCATGGTGGCTGTTTGACGACCAGCAGCCATACTCGCCTGTCGGGACACACGGGATATAAACACAAACGGTATAGACACACATGCACCCACAGCAAACATAGTAAACAACTGTGTGGAGTGGAGTGGGGGGGGGGGTGGTGCAGTAGTTCACGCACTTGATTCCCAGAACCAGTTAAATATGACTCAGTGGCGAGTGAGATCAGAACTGGTCCTGAACCCACTGCCTTAGACAACCTGCACTGACATGGAAATGGGAGGCCTTCATCCAGCAGCATATTGATAAAGGGCTGTGAATTCAATAATTATTCATTATATACATCAAACAAGTCAAGACATGATCACCCATGTAGTCTACAGACTGTTGGGGCAAGTGCCGTTAGCGAGCCTCTATTAAGCCCAATATGGTGCAGGAGGGTCTGAATGTGGCCAGCACCACACCCGGCCACCTTTATCTCCCCAGTGGTGATATTCACAAACCACTCCAGGTACTCATTGAAGGCTGAGTTGACTTAGGGAAGGTCCAAGACCGGTTCAGATACAACTTACCACTGATATAGACAGTGAGCGTGAATCAAACAAGGTTGAGAGGATTGTAATGCAGTATGTGAACCACCGTGAAATGCTGAACACACTCACAGGAACACTCACGCACTTGAGCACCACTCATTTACAACACTGACAAATAAACGCTCCAGCCAGTACCACTTCATGGGAATCCAAATGTGGCTGGAACTTGCCATAGGAATGTAAAATGTACACCACCGTCACAAGCAAGCCAAAAGAGATGAGTGCTGTCCAGCACTCACTTCGGATTGTTTTTGCTGACGGAGTAGAAAAGCCTTACACAAAAATTATAAATATCCACCAGATTTGTACACAAAGTGAAATGTATTGGTTGGGTGCGACAGTTAATCAGCAACTTACAACTCAATTGGTACTACTCAGTGGGAAGGCAACACACACACACACATTACTATAGAAGAATATTCCCAAAAGTTACACCTCCTATTTGCATCCACCATAACGTTTTACTGAACTGACAATGTTTGATATTCATTCATGGGATTGTTTTGATTGCCAGGCATATTTATCAGTTCTCTTTCAACACAACGATGCCAGGCAATGAAAATGACAAACTGCATATGGGCTTCATAAGAATGATTTCAACTTGCAATGCGTCGCAGGGTATTCGCTCCCGCTCTAACAGACAGAACTTGAAGGCGTGAGGAACCACAGACAAGCAGGAAAGGCAGCATCCACGCAGTGGAGCAGGCACCAAAAACTGCTCGGGCTCTCCGGTTCTCGACACATCGAGGCGTTATCAGCCGATACACGAGTGAATACACGTGTGAGGAAAGTAGAGCACAAGGAGAAGCACACGTGCAAGGGGGGGGGGGGGGGGGGCAAACAATATACAAAAAATGCCATTGCGCAGTTCGGGTCAACTGTGCTGCCCGATCCAGCAGCTCAGCCCAGTTCTGGCATCCTTACATTTGTATCCGTGAGGCCCTTTAAAGGACGGTCGCTGATAGTATAGAATTACGATGTTTCTCAAATAGCTACGTGATGCTGACGAATCCTCCTGCGATGGAATGCTGGCCCTGTTTCCGCACTGGCAACAAGTGCGGAGAAGAGAAGGATGGAGACGGAGATGAAACGCAACCGAATGTTCGTGACACTCGCACAAATGGTTTCATGAATGCTATCCTCTACAGACAGCGGCCTCATTTTCCATTCGTGTGAATGTCACTAACATTTGGTTGTTTCAACTCCATTTCCATCCTTCTCTTCTCCGTGCTTGTGCCAGTGCAGAAACAGGGCCAGCATTCCATCACGGGAAAATTCGTCAGCATCACGTAACCATTTGCAAGCGAAATCCTATACTGACAGCAGCGTAATTTTTAAAACATTGCCCACAAAAGTGGTAGGTCAAAAGGCCAACTGTGAGGGTGCCAATGCTGGGCAGTATGGTGGATGGGGCAGCAGTTCACCAAAACTGTGTAATGGCCTCTAATATCTATTTTCCAATGGCACATCTGAGCCGTGCCAGCGCAGGGTGTCGTCATATGGGTAGTTTTTCGCTGGCTATATTCCGTGCTAATTCAGAACCAATATGTGATACGCTGGCCTCACAAGACACGTGAATCTGGATCTGGGCCAAGCAGGGCCAGGACGTGTGATGACGGTGAATACCATGTCCTCTACATGCGTCTAAACTTGGTCATTGCGTGTGACATTAAGCGGTATGGCTCAGTTTCTCCAGTGGAACAAACAACCTGGAGCCTCACAATAAAGTCTTTGGAAAAAATATGTTTTGGGTTAGATCGCTAAATGTGTCGTATACCAACCACCACCCAACACGGCCAATTATTAAGGTTTGTCACGTGAATAGAACGTGCCAATCAGTTATTACTTCAGCACACCAGTGTGTTGGAGAGCAAACCCACAACATTTACAATGAGTACGAAGTTTTGCTGATTACAACCAGCATCATCAGGCGATTGCCAGAATTGAATCAGTTTTCCTGTTTAAAATAAAAAAAAAATTGGTCGCAAAAGCCTACGTGTTAAAGAAAGTGGTGCATCCTGAGCCGTGCCGTGCAGGCTTGGCAAGGTCCGAGCTTGGCTGTACAGTGAGAATGGGGTGTGATATTCTTAGGTTTGTTTACGGTGTGGCGCTGGCATGTTTTAAAGAAGAAAATCTGCCACCTGACAAATTTTTAGACTAAAAATTTCCATAAATGAGAATCAAACATTTTTGTAACAATTCAATAATAAAAAGCTGTTTCAATAAAAAATAGGAGGCATTTATTTCTGGGAAATTCTCAGAACACAACAACCGTTTGTCAATCGCGAATCACAAGTTACGTGATTATAGCAGATTGAAAAATCTCCAGTGACAATAAAACAAAATACACAAAATATATTATGCATGCAAGATAACATGTATGTAATAAAACAGTACTTTGAAAATGAGTTAACTAACAATTTGGCAATCAGTGTTGTGTTGTTTTGAAAGGAATACACTTCTATATAGAATTCTGCAGCTAGTAGTGAATCACCGTGCCACATGACTACTTCTGAAGTCACACCTAACTTCTGAACCCATATTTTAAAGAGAAGGTCGTGCCTATAATAACTGGCAGTTCACCAGCATTGGTTCAAGCAAGCCTGACTCCGAATGAGACACTGTCAAAACCGGTCGAGAGTTTGTTTGTATTGAATCAATGCTGCTGAAAAGAAACACTTCTAGATGGATGTGGAGCCGATGGATTTAGTAACAAATACTTTTACATTTCATGTGGAGAGACAGATCCATGAAGGAGCCATTCTCCGTGTATCAAGGACATCAATTTAGTTGGCTCTGTAGCCATACTTTGGCCACACCATGCCCTGCACGGGGTGTCTGTATGTCAATAAAACGCATCTAGATACTTGGAGATAAAGTTAGGTGATTTAAATAATAAACCAAATAAATTATTGTTTTTTTTGTGCAGTCTGTGGTGACTGGTGGGCTCAGACCACCACCTCGCAACACTTGAGACGCCGATTTAATCACAGGAGGCTAAAACCTGGATTCGGCCCAGCATCTCAGCTGTGCTGGCTCATTCACTCCAACGCGGCCATTATGAGCCACCCAGGATCAAACGCCCACTTCCAAAAAATAGTGGAAAGGCAAGGGCACATGCATGGCAGGCTGTGACATCAAAAAGCAGGAGACACGGCAGGAATCGCAGGAAGTCAAAAAAACACATCGTGCAAAAACAACCACACAGACACTCACACGTGGGACCCCCACACACCGCCCAGTTCACAACAGATGTCAGGATTCACAAAATGGAACAATAATAAAGACGATGATGATAATTTGTACTGATTATTGTTGGAGGTAGGCGGTGGTGGCACACGCCTGTAATCCAGCACTGTGGAATTGTTGCTTTAACAGGTAACAAGGCCCACTGATGGTTCAACGAAGTGGTTTATTATCATGTGGAAATTTATATCAGGGAAATACTCGAAACGCATGTTTCTAAATGTAGGGAAAAACTGTAGGACCCAGAGAAATATCTACGCGACCACAGGGAGAACATGCAAACTCCAAATATACAGGTGTCAGGGTCGGGATCGAACCCACAACCTCCTGTACACAAGGCGAGGGAGTCAACATTTCGCCACAATGGCGCCTATACCATGGCTCACCAGGAAGACAATAGATAAAAATGTGGACTAATCGCCATCTGTTCCATCTATATGGGATAGAGAATTGCCCCCTCGCAGGTGTAGGTTTTCTCCCATCCCACATCCCAGTGGGCTTTGAAGTTTCACAGATTTATACGTGACCCACCGACCATTGCGCCTAAATTGCTGGATCACAAGCGTGCGCAAACCGTGCCGGTCTCGCATAATAAAACTTGTATAGTTAACAATTTTGCTGATCCTTATGTACAGGATTCAATGCATCTAATATAAAAGCATAATAATCGATTATTTTATAAAAATGTAATCATCACAATCCCCTCCCTCTGGGAACTCCCTGAGCATCTATAATCCTGCATCCGTTGAAAGGGGGCACTGTGAAACGGCGATCCACGCACATGCAATGGGTAAGGGGGTGGGTGGTAGGTTTGCTGTGATATAATTCACGATACGATGCCATTTCACGATGAGGCGATTATTGCTAAATCGGCGTTTCCACAAGACTGTAATTTTGCTTCACATTTGCACTGCTTTTGTGTTTGCTATAACTTTAGGCACGAATAAAGATCGCTCATAACTTTTTCGACCGCATTTCACTCGACGGAAGTGTTATACCTTCCAATGATTACATCTTTACAATATTTAACGCTAATAATGCAAGTCAGTGGAAAGTTACGTAATATAAATAATGAAATGGATAGATTACAGATATGATGTCATATAACCACGGATGCGTGAATACGTTTGGAAAACATTTTACAAATCACTAACTTAATGGGAAATAGCTTAATTTATTGCGAACTTTATTTCATATCGTGAACTTAATTAGTACTGTTAACTTAAACAAATATTTTGACAGGAAGCAAAACAATATTTTTTTATAAAGAGAGCCATGATAATCACGATATACCAATATTGTGCAAAACGGACTTTCGATTGTCGTGGATCTTGTATCGTAAGATATATCACAGCACGGCCATGTTACGGCAACCCTAGTCAGGGCTCAGGGCATTCCTTGGCCGGGTAACGTCACGGTTAGGAGAGCTGGGCAGGCTGTGGAAAACAGTGCATACGTAGGGGTGGTGGGGGAGGAAGGAAAGGGGGTGGGGGAGAAGGAGAGGTCGTGGGGGTGGGAGGATGGAAAAGGAGATCAGGGGTTTGATGTTACTGTTGTCTCGCTGTCGTACCAGCGCAAGGCACGGAGTTGAGTAGTCGAGAGGGCAGTTGGCAGAGGACTGGAGTGGTCGAGAGTTAAGGGGTGGGTGAGGGCATGGGTGGCAGGTAGGAAGGGCGGGGGGAACAGACAGGCAGAGGATTATTGTTGGTGTTGTTGGGAGAAGACAGGCGGAGAAGTGGGAACAGACGAAACGGAGAGGTTAGTGGTGTTAATTTAAGCTCTCCGGCAACTGCTCAAACTGAACAGCTGATCCACAAACCAGTGTTACCCCAATCCTCCACTGCCTCCAAATCCAACGACAAGATCAGACTGATCATATTCACAATGCATCAAATACCCATTCGTGTATAGCTATCTCTCCCTTCTCATCTGATTCTACTGCCATACCCTCCACTTCACACAAGTCCCCCTCCAGTAGATCCTGTTACTTTGTCTTTCTGTGTTGGGAGTCTCACCTCTGTCTGTTATTGTCTGTCTCTCCTGTTGGACTGTGGCTGCCTACGCCTTTTTCAGTTACTGTCTCTGTTACCCCAATCCTCCACTGCCTCCAAATCCAACGACAAGATCAGACTGATCATATTCACAATGCATCAAATACCCATTCGTGGCTGCCTACGCCTTTTCAGTTACTGTCTCTGTATCCCATCCATCGCCTTTCCAAAATGGTCCATGGATTTTCCTCTGCCCATCTCTCCACTTTGATCTTACTCCGGTCTCCTTCCTGCTCCAGCAACCTCTCAACGCTTATTGGAGGGTGTCAGCTCAATGTCTGAGATGGCCATTATGAATCCCCCAAGACACACTAAACACCAAAGCTTGAACCCTGAGTTTCAGCAGGACTGGCTCGATGTTTTAAGACATGGCCATTATGGGAGTGAGACTCACCCTGACATTTCCTCCGCTGGACTCATCTAGTCTCACTACACATTTAATTTCTTACTGCACATATATAATATATGGCTGCACACATCTCGTCTACGGCTGCACCCATCTATTCTACTGCTGCAATCATCCACTTACCTGCTGCACAGCCGCCAGACTCTGTAGCTGAGCGCTGCTTAGATGCTGCTGCTGTTGTTGTTGCTGTTGTTGCTGCTGCTGTTGCTGCAATGCAGCAGTCTGCAGCATGAGGTGCTGCTGCTGGGCGGCGTACATCCTCTGCAGGTACTGAGCTGCCGACGGTTGCCCGTGCAGGGCCTGCTGAATCACCTGGGACACAGAAGGGGCAGCAGAGGCATTTTATTTATTTTCCATTAAGCATGATAGTTCGCTCAGGACAGCCTCCCTGAGTCTCAAGACTCTTTTTAAAGAGAGTCCTGCCAAATTTCCGCAGAAGTGGATGATGATGTTGCTGCTCTGTGTAATCCAAATTGAGTAATTTGCAGAAAACTTTTCCGCATTTGGGATGTATTTTGGACAATACCAGTTACATTGTACGTGTTTTTTTATGATGGCAGGAAACCGGAGAAACCCATGTAGAACATTTTAACTTAAAACTTTCGTGACTGCAGGAATTAATATTCTATGGTTCTTTCGGTAAAGTCACGTAGATAGAAAAAATTACAATAAAATTAAATTGAATTAAAAATAATAAAAATATCACGACGTTTCGATAGCAACACAAGCATTCGTTAACAGGAACAGGGAGGTTAGCCTCTGAGGGCAAGCTGTTTATAAATGTTTAGAGATGGGCGGGGCAGCTAATGTTAATGTAGGAGAGGGCTCCGACACCGGCAGTAGGTCTACACCAATCAGAGAGCTGTTTATAAAGGTTTAGAGATGGGCGGGGCAGCTAATGTTAATGTTGGAGCAAGCTCCAACACCGGCAGTAGGTCTTCACCAATCAAAGCATTGCACCTCGCTCCACACACCCACACTGCTGACGGTGGAGGTGGACAAGAAAACAAATCAAGTCATGACCCAAAGTGGTTTATGACATCTTTCCAATGATTGCTGAGTTTAAAATCATCGTCTCGGTTGAAATTGTGTCTGTGTCTGTATATATGGCTTTGTGAAATAATCGTTGTTGATAGCCAGTCAGCTTGCAAAGTACCATTGTGAGCCAGCCGTGTTAAAGTAATGATCATCCATGGCAGCAGAATTGGTCCTGCCGTGTTTCAGGTCTGCCTTATGTTCACGAACACGGTTCGAGACATGTCGTTTGGTTTCCCCAATGTAACTGCTGCCGCAGATACACCTTAGATTGTAGACGCCGGGATATTGCATGTCAGGAATCTTGTCCTTCACAGATGGGATCAGGTCACGAATAACACAATTCAGGACCTACTTAATGATGGATGCTACACAAAAATTAAAAGAGATCCCCCACCAACTGCCCCATTACAAAAACGAACAGTATCACTGATTCAGTTTCATTAATTGAACAGACCAAACGGTTTTCCTTAAAACCTTCTGCTGCTAGACCACCCAGACTACCGTATTTTCCCACATATAAGCCGCTGGGCAAACCACTTTTTACAAACAAAACAAGATCCTGCGGGGTATATGGAGGTGCGGGCTATCTCAAAAATATTTTACACGTGTGACATGTCATAACTCGTTTAATTCTTTCATGGTAGGACTATCCACTATGTAACACATACCTTTGACTAAAGCACTGCTGAATAAACCACTAACACTAAAATTGTACATGTTATCACGTTTTAAATAATTCGAATTGTTTGTACAATTAAACGACAATGTTTGAAGTGGGCACACTTTGTTTACCGTAATACTTTCAGTGGCTGTAGGGGGGTGCGAAAGTTTCAGCTGAGGCTACGGATTGCACAATGGGAAGGGTCTTAACAAGCATTTACTAGATGCAGAATCATAATTGCGGAGTCCCTTCGGCCGCTGATATTAGCTGAGCACTATACAGTCGCGACCATGAGCTTTGTTTCAAACTTTCAATGGCTTTGTTGCCAGGAGGCAATGGCGTTACCGTAGTGCCGCTATTGTCTGCGCAGTGTGCAATCTACCAGTGCTAAAACTGTACAGGGGTAACTACCGGTCCAGTAGCTGTAATATGAGGTCGAATGCTGGTCAGCCTAACAGTACTCTTACTTATCTACCAGTTATGTGTTACGTATTTATTGGATATTTACTTTTGTTACTTATTTACTGTTTTAAGTTCACTGTTTTCCGGTTAGTTTGTTTTCTTTGTGCACGTTATGATTTTAACGTTAACAATTGATAGTGGAATGTATTACAAATGTAAACTTTGCATTAATATGATGGAATTAAGCTGTGGTAATGACGTTAAAGATATGAATGCATGCGGGGTATAAGACGATGCGGACTATCTGAAATTTGTGTTACACAAAACGCTATTTTTGCGGGGTATATGCGTTTGCGGGTTATATGCATATGCGGGCTATATGCGGGAAAATACAGTATATGGTTTACCAAAAGGTACACCCCTTCATCCCATCATCTCCACCATTGGCTCACCCACCTACAAACTGGCCCGATATCTGTCTGAGACCTTACAGCCATTCACTGGTAAGATCACCTCTTCTGTTCTTAACTCGGCTCACCTGGTATCATCAATTAAAGACATCTCACTGTCCCCAGGTGATTTGCTCATTAGTTTCGATGTAGTTTGTGTTCACCAATATCACTGCAATAATTGAAGATTTGGTCCAACGAGGCCTGAATGCTGATGTACCAGCCCTGGTAAGACACTGCCTCACCAATACATACTTCACTTGGAATGGAACATTCTACAAACAAATTGAAGGCACCCCAATGGGTTCTCCCTCATCTCCGGTTGTGGCCAACATTTTCATGGAAAATTTTGAGACGGACGCCATCCAGGCATCCACTCTACGCCTGTCCTTGTGGAAGAGGTACGTGGATGACACGTTTGTCATCTGGCCACATGGCCGACCGGCTCTTGAACAATTCCTCAACCACATCAATTCCATACACCCAGCAATCAAATTCACCATGGAGGTAGAAAAGGATGGCATGCTACCCTTCATGGATGTCTTAATAAAAAATAGACCAGATGACTCAATGAGCCACTGTCTACAGGAAAGTAACCAATACTGATGCCTACCTAAAATCTGATTCCCGCCACCATCCATCCCAGAAGAATTCCCTCATCAAAACGCTACACCATAGAGCTCAATGTATCTCCGACCATGAAGACCTGACCAGTGGACTCAAACACGTACACCAGGATCTCAAGACGAATGGATATTCTGACTACACAATCCGCAAAGCCATCACCCCAACAGTGAGGAAGGAGCCATCTAAAGATCGAATCAAAACCATCACCTTACCTTACATAGCAGGGATAATCAAAAATATTTCCAAAATCTTGAACAAACACAAAATCCAGGTCCGATTTAACACAGTACGTAAAATACGTGATCTGATCCTATCTGTGAAGGACAACATTCCTGACATACAATATCCCGGCGTTTACAAACCAAGCTGTATCTGCGGCAGCATTTACATTGGGGAAACCAAACGACATGTCTCAGACCGTGTTCGTGAACATAAGACAGATCTGAAACACTTCTGCCGTGGCTGATCATTACTTTAACGCGGCTGGCTCATGTGAAAATGATTTCTCTAAGACGATGGTATTTTGCAAGCCAACTGGCTATTAACAAAGATTCGTTCACAAAGCCACCCATATATACATACACAGACACAATTTCAACCGGGACGACGGTTTTAAACCCAGCAATCATTGGAAAGATGTCATCAACCACTTCGGGTCATGACTTGATTTGTTTTCTTGTCCACCTCCACCGTCAGCAGTGTGGGTGTGTGGAGCGTGGTGCAATGCTTTGATTGGTGTAGACCTACTGCCGGTGTCGGAGCTTTCTCCAACATTAACATTAGCTGCCCCGCCCATCTCTAAACCTTTATAAACAGCTCTTTGATTGGTGTAGACCTACTGCCGGTGTCGGAGCCCTCTCCTACATTAACATTAGCTGCCCCGCCCACCTCTAAACCTTTATAAACAGCTTGCCCTCAGAGGCTAACCTACCTGTTCCTGATGACGACCGCTTGTGTTGTGATCGAAACGTCGTGATATTTTTATAATTTTTTATTTACTTTATTTGTATTATTTTATTGTTATTTTTTCTATCTACGTGACTTCACGGAAAGAACCATAGAATACCATGTAGAACAGGGAAGAACATACAAACACCACATAGAAAGGCACCCAAGTTAGGAATCGAACCCAGGTCCTTCTTGCTGTGAGGCACAAGTGTTAATATAGCGCAGCCACCCTGCCCCCCAGGAGTGTAACGGTGCACTAATTAATATATAAATATCGATTCTTAATCTCACGACATATGCATCAAATCCTAAGCGACAGAAAAGATGTTTTTTTTGTCATGTTGGTATGACCAAATGACCCAGAATGCACGTGATCGTCGGATCTCATGAAGCTCTACAGGGCTGAGCCTGGATATATCGTGCTTGGATGGGAGACTACCATGCACAAACAAGTGTAATAGTTGTTGCGAGCAGTAGGGGGCAGTGCAGTAAAATACACAACAATTTTGTACATTTCTAAAGTGCATTTCATCTGTAAATCCCAATGTGCCACTGTCTATGGAAAGCATGAAATAAACAGAGTCTGCAGGGTAAACGTCCAGAACTAGTAGTGTAAAGGCCAATTTAAAGAGGCGAGTTTTCAAGACAGACTTAAATATAGCTGTCTTATTAGCAAAGGCAAAGCGTTCCAAAGCTTTGGAGCTGCACTGAAAAAAGGCCGATGACCCAAGGAAATGAGCCTCGACCTCAGAATACTTGTTCTGCTCTTCCCCCCTCCTCAACCTTCACCAACCTGCCACTGATTAGCGCGGTGAAATATGGTCAAATATCCTTCATGGCTTGCAAGGTTTGCAGATGCTGTCACCCCCCAAAACGGGCTGCACATTAAACAAGACATACATTCAACGCCACAAGTTGCATAACAATTTTACTTGACCCTGCCCCAAACCCCACATCCACTAGAGAGGTTGCTACATTCACCACGATGTTAAAAATAAATTCGCCAATCGAATGGTGAATGTGTTACTCCCCTAACGCAGCAAGACTAACACTGTTGGTTCACAAGGAGTGTGGGCTGACGGGTGTAAATAAGATTTATTTGACTGGTGGGTCGTGAAACACACACTTGTCTTTTAATTGGCCAACAATCCACCAAGACGTCACAATTATGTTTTGAGACAAAGACC